TTTTGGTGATTTGGTTTAAAAAAAAGTGTTAATTCCCCCCCCTTAATTTGTTTTTCTAGAGGTTTTTTTTTTTTTTGGTGGGGTTGGGGGGGGGGGGGGGTTGGGGGGGGGGTTGGGGGGGGGGGGGTCAGAGGGGTCCTGATCCCCCCTTCGATTTTTGAAAAAGAAATCACAGCAATGGTCCCCTCTTGAAATTAGGATTTTGATTAGCTGAATCATAGTTCTAAACCGTACCAAATGGCACCGTTCACCCTTTAAAATACCAAAAGTTTTCGGGTCCCGAACCCCACGCTTTTTTTCACACAAAATAAATCCTCATTGTTATATTAACTAGAAAAGTAAATTTATGGTTGGTAAATTAGTGAATAAGTGAACAACTTGTTTATAATTTCTTGTTTACGCTATAAAATCGTTATCGTGCATTTGCCTCAGTTTTGGAAGGTTACATGTACGTCTTGCTTATCATCTTTTTAATGATAAAAATTACCAAGAAGAGTAGAAATATAAATTTTATCTCCTTTAACTAAAAATATATGTCAGAATTATTCTTGTTGGTTTTGATGATTAAAATCAATTCTTTTAACCGACCAAGGGGGTTTGAGCGGCCAACATGGGACTATACGCAACAAAGATAAAGAATAAATCCATATGTTTTTTGGAAAGGCCTACTGTCATCTTTTTGATAAGGAATAGGTAGCGGTGTTAAGGTGTTTGGTGAATTTCACGTGGATAAATTTAATGACCTGCAGCTGCATTCTTTTCTGAAATATAAAGGTCGAAACATAAATTTCCAGGACGGGTAAAGCGCGAGTGGCGTCAAAATTTCCAACTGGCTGCCTATGTGTGGATGTATTCTTCTTGAAGTACGCAGAGTTTTAAATTTAAACAGGAATTTTCTTTTGAGTAAGTGTAAAAAAGTGCCCAAAATGCGGCCTGTGACTTTCAATGCCATCCACCTACTTTCAATCTTTCCCTTCGACTGCCTTGTATATTAATGCCTCTTAACACAGCCGTACTTATGACGCGAGATCATCTCAGATGTGGTCAGTCAATCGAATATGCGACAAAAATTCTTACATGTCGAAAATATCTGAGTCCTGCATCGTGAATTTAACGTGTTTATAGTTAATATATTAATTTAAAATTAATTTGTTTGATGCTAAATTTGAATAGTTTCGTCAACACATTGAATTTAAAATGCTTTTTTTTTCTCGTGGGATGGGGGTTTGGAGGATTCTAATAAATTATAATTACCCCCCCCCACCCCCCCACCCCCCGTAGGAAATCCTGGATCCGCCCCTATATATAATGTACGTCTTCAATAACACCAAGAGGTGTTGGGTTCTTGCATCTACAGCGGGACATATTTATGTAAGATAGTTGATTCTAGGGGCTCTAATCCTGACTCCGGAAAGTCTTGGTTTCGGCTCGAGTCCGCATCACCGCAGCTTTATTTCCAAAACCAAAAATCAATTTATATAGGCCTATTACATGGACATTGCCTAGTTTTATGGAAGAAATTGGAGTGACAGAAATCGCAAAATCTTTAATTAAGTTTAAGTGAGATTAAGGGATAATTGAAAAGAAGATAATTTCGACTGATACAGATGTAATTAAGCAAACCGCGTGCACATGCATGCGACTCCATTAAAATTAATTTGTGAGTCTGGTGATTACATGCATTTTGCCATAGGCCTATGTACACGCCTTCCGTTTTTTTTTTAAACAAAAAGAAAAACTATAGAATAATATTTTAGTTAACTATTATGTAGGTCTAGGCCTACAATTTTAAACAATAACATTCAATTTCATACGTACTTTAATAATCATAAATGAATTATGTAAACGCAATTAGGGATCAATAAATTGTTGTATTATTGTAAGTTTTAAGAAATTAGGCTACCATTCCTGTCTCTATCAACTATAGCACCAGAACGCAAACAGTTCGATAATGCTGGCCTTGTGGTCAGTTCAAGCTGGTAGGCCTACCCGATGCTTGCGGGTCGTGGGGACTTCGTGGGGAAACCGGGACAGTGCACACGCCTGGATACTCTAGTCTTTATAACATGAAAACTTCAGTTTTTTATTGGCACGGCGCCTTACAGTTCAAGAATAGTCCCTATCGTCCCGTTTTAATAGACAGCATATGGTGCGACTGAAGACACTGAATAAACCGAGCCTTTCTCTCGTGACTGCAAACTATTCTCTGTAGGCCTATACACTATACTGGTAAACATGATGAAGCACAAGAAATTACCAAAGTAATTCCTGCAGAAAGAGTAGGCCTACTGAAACCAATTAAGACACATCTAGGCTTAGCTAGGCCTAGGCCCTACTACAGTTTTAACATAGGCCCCTACTTAAACCGAGACTAATTTTAGTTTTATAAAGTCATAAATAAAGTAACTCCATCCTTTTACAAGCGAAAGCATCCATCAAAACTTGATTAAAATTCTAAGTAGAAAATACATCGGAAGATTCAGGTAGCATGATTATAACTCATGCACCTCAATGGTTTAATCTAAACTTTGACAAGAAAAAAATAAAAAAAAAATAATAATAATAACAATAATAATAATAAAATAAAAAAAATAAAAAAAAACGTTTTAAATAGAAGTTTTTCAAATGTAATTTTGAACTGAAATCGCAACTACCTGCATGATACAAGTAAAGAATAAAGCAAGCTTGCTTCGAAATATATTTAATCTGAATAGGTCTACTCAATGACCTCTGTGCTCAAAGTTCCCTCGGGCACCTGTATGTGTACTTCGTCATCACTTTTTGCTAATTATTTTTCATTTAAATATTACCATGTTTTGCTATATTTGCTTGAAACCTCATGTACGTAGTGCATGGGTTATTTTATTTCTGCCCAGTTTCATCATTTGTACTCAAAATTTTACTCTGAACCGAATGAAATAAGTGAACATTGAAGGCTTGTCTTGTGATCTATAAATGGAAAACAAGTGACGTCACGGTACAACGTGCACCTCCATTTTGTAAACGAAAGGGTAAGTAAGGTAGATTAAACCCCGAATTCCTCCCAGTCTAGTCAATTGATCGTGGGTCTAGATGTCTAGCTTGATTTTAAACTATACGTTTGATACTTGAGGGTAATAAGTGGATGAATTCTGCGTCCACGTGGTCCGTTATCGGAGCAGTTTTAAAGGAATAACAATCGACGTTCAATTTGAAGAAAAGCGTCGTATGTCAAAGGACTTCTGATATGTTTGGGAATTCCACTGGGATTCCCCCTTTTTAATATGGTGCATGTCGTTATTTGTATAATTTCACAGGGGCATTTATTTGTGTTTTACATCATGATCACAAATAAATTGGCATTGGCGAAAATGAAATTATTTAGATATTTTCATGTAGCTTTACTGATTGTTTGGCAGCTCTTCCTGTGGTTTGTTAATTTTATTCGAGGAGACTTAAATGGGCGCACCTTGAATTCTACCCTCCGTGGCTTGGAAATTCCACTGGTTTTCCCAACGTGCAGCGTCAGCATTTTAAGCCTAAGCTGCATTACAAGTCCTTGTTCGGGGCTAAATTTAGAATACTCACTTTTAGTGAGAACTTGGCATTCCAGTCACGTTGATAAAACTTCGAGGCCCAGAACATGAATAACCAATATGTGTCCATAAAACGGACTCATTGGGTCTTTTAAATGTATTACATTTTCGTCATAACTCGACTAAAACGGGTTTATAGCTTTGATATATCTTGCCCATTGACTCCACATTTCTGGTGGCAGGGCTGCCTAAAATCCCCTTGAGATGTTAGACACAGAGTGTTCTGAACCAGATTCATCCTGGGAGGTAAAGAATAACTATTAATAACTTTTACCTTAATTTTTCTTGCCTTTTAGATTTGATTGTTTTGATGTCATTAACCAAAAATCTGATGGGGTATACATGATGGACTGAAGATGTGAGAGGATAGAAGTAAATGACATTTGGACATTGAATGTAGTGGGAGTATTACTCATAGTGTCACAGTAGGACACATACAGCAGGGGTCAGGTGGTCAGTATTTGGTTAACGGTCAGTCAATGGCCGACCATGACAAGCCTTTTGTATGTGAAGTGGAGGGATGTGGAATGGTGAGTCTCTCTCTCTCTCTCATTGTATATTTTCACTGCACAAAATTTATCACATGTTACATCAAATTATAACATAACAAGTAATGTGAAACATACCTATCACTACCATAACTTCTTTTTTAGCGTTTCACCAATGAGGATCGGCTGGCAGTCCACAAGCAGAAGCACCAGTTTGCCCTGACCCTGAACACCTCCACCAAGGAAATCAATAAGATCTTATTTGTTGGTAAGCACTGGCATGTCTAGGGTAGTGTAGGTAGAGCAAGTCCCCATGGTAATATGAAAAGGGGCAGGCATTGTGTCTTGTAGTAGTCTGTAATGAGATTTTTACAGATTTTGGCAGCTTTTTCGCCTTTTTGGGAACCACATATATCTGGACCCCTTACCATATTTTTTAACTCTTTCACCAAATGGCAGTCTCATCCCTACTTAACTGCTTTTTAAAATTATTAAAATCATTTAGATTAAATTCTAAAAAAATGACCAGTTATAAGGTGATTACATAGGGATACAATTTTAGTGCTTGCCATAGTTGCTGCTTTCTTTGGATACTCCACTATTGTATGGCAGTGTAATTTTTTTATTCCTGGGTTAGTCAATGTTGAAATGTTGTTCTGTTTTCTATCCCAAATTTATACGATTTATTATCTCCGCTGAAAAAGTTTGATGCAAAAGAGGATTAGCATGCCAACTTATTTCATTTATGTCCCATGCTAATTGTTGTATCCTCTGTGGTTACATTTATTTTCTGCTCTTGTGAAGAAAAAAAAAACTTTTGTCAACACTTTGTTATAGTATTTAAACTTAAAAAATAAATGAAACAATTGTCAATGAAAGACATACCATTAAGTAAATGATCTAATTTGAAAATCACAGATCACAACCTTGAGATATTTATTAGATAAATTTTAACATAGTAGACTATTTTAGGTCAAATTCTAAAATCACATGATCAGAGCCTATTCTTCTTATTTCAGATCAAACACCGACACCAACCAAGTTCCTGAAGAATTGCGATGAAATTGGTCTGTTCCAAGAACTCAAGGGAAATCCCTTTGATGAGTCTTTTAAGAAGGCCATTGATTATGAGCCAGCAGTATCAGAGGTGAGTTTACTACATGTAGACAGGTTTCTTCCAAGGATTGGGGTCACAGGTCGTCCAAAATTACCACCTGTAATTTCCTACAAAATATCTGGGAGTCCTAGTATGTCTTAAACCATCATATTTTCAAAAAGAAAAATCCATTAGCTGTCCATCCGACTTTGAAAATGTGGGCTGTTCGATGATGCTGATGACCGTTCAAATGATGGCCGGATGGTTCACTGGGAAAACCCTGGTGTGTAGATACTCTTAAGTTTATGACTAGGTTAAGATATGCAAATAGCTTTGAGATTTGCTAGTATTACATGATATTAAAACAAGTTAATATATATTTCATTGTGCAAAATGCATGGCATAATAAAACAAATCATACATTGACACTGTGGAGTGTATTAGTAGCTAAAAGAAAAATATTAACTAGATTGTATCACATATTAAAGCAGTGTACAACTTTTCACTGTACAGAGTGTATCACATATTTTAACAAATGTAAACTTGAAGTATTATAAGTAAACAAATGCTAAATTTCTCTTGTTCAGAATGCCCCTCTACCAGGCCCCATGTCCAGTGTGGACACCCCGGTATTACCAAAGATGCTAATGCCACTGGACAATGGACTGCCCAGTGCTGCCACTTCACGCAAGATAAGACAATCCAAACTGACCCTTCCCTCAACTGAGGATGACGAGGGAACAGCAACGAGTGGGGCAGACAGGGAGGAAGAGGAGGAGGTGGTCAGGGTCGTCTCCGACACTGAGGAAGTGTCCCATGTGACTACAGCAGGTGGTTCCGGAAGAGAAGTGTCTGTCACATCAACAGCCAAGATCACAACACCCAGCACCCTTCAGTCAGTTTCACCCAAAACCAGAGGTGCAAATAAACTATCGCAGCAGTCCATCGACGTTGACTTGAGCATGGACAGTGAGTATAACAGTGAGGAAGAGGACATTGACCAAGCGCACAGCGTTGGCTTTCCCATACATAATGTGGCAACACAGAAGTCCCCAATGCCCTCTGCTGTGACCTCATCAAATGTGCCAGCACGGAGGTCATCTGGAAGTGGCCCCACCCCGGTGGCAGCCGGTGGGACAGGTCAAGTGAGCATGCCCAGTGTGGTGGAGGCGATGTCTGTGGACCAGTCCCAGCAACAAGTTGTACTGGGGCAGCAGCCGCTGGGAGTCATCAACAGGTGAGCGGGGGGGGGGGGGTCTGGTGAGACATTCCCAATGAAACTTTTGTTCTATGTAGATCGATTCAGTTCTGCAGGGACTCTCGCTGCTTGCAGTCAGATTTTCAGATCTACACTCCTCCTGGCATTAAGTAGAATACAGAAAAGTTGGGGAGTATGTTGGAAACAAGAGGAATTGTATCAGTTTGTTAATCTGATTGCATTCATTGAGAGCTCCTGCAGAGTTGGGTCAGTCTAGGTATAATGATAATTTCATCAGGAATGAGGCCTTACTTTAAAGAGGTACAATTTCTATAGCCAAGAGTAAAATTTGTCAACTCAAATCTCCATTACTAGAGTGGCTCAAAAATTGAACTTAGAAATCAAATTGTGATTAATAGGTCAGTTGTAAAATTTTTAGTATTTTTGGACAGTGTTCATCCTGAAGCTTTCAAATGTCCATGAAAATTTAATTTTGCTATTGTAATGTCAAACATTCTTTGTTTGACCAGAAGTACAAAGTTTCCACCTTTTTATCTGAACACTAACGATTTAACCTCTTCATTATTTTTATCAGTTTAAAAAATAATAAAAATTATTGTAATAATTTCATTCTTTTGGTTTAGCTCCATGAGTGCAGCTCTGGGAACCCAGGTGACAACAATGCAGGTATTACTGCAACTCCCTGGGGGTCATACCATACCTGTGCAGATCCCAGCAGCTATAGGAAGTCCTACTGCTCAGGTAACAGAAACACACCTAGATCAATATAGCAGGATTGACCCATCTCCGAGGGGTTTCTCACTAAATTGCATTCAGCTTAAGTGTCTCTGATGTCCGGCACGCCTACTAATTAAAAGCTGTTAGGGGGTAATTTAAAACTATCATTTAGCGGCTTCAGTAGGTGTGTCAGACATCAGTGCCCCTTAAGCTGAATGCAATTTAGCGAGAATACCCTTGGAGACTGGTCGATCCTGCTAGATCGATCAAGGTATGGGAATGGGTTCTAAGTTGAAGTATTAATATACAGGTTATTCCATACCTGTACATAAATACAGGTAATGGTAACATTTAGTTGAAGTATTAATATAAAAGTTGTACTGTACCTCCACAGCTATAGGAAGCCCCACTGCTCAGGGAATAGTAACATTTACAATTATTGTATTGGATAACATTTCTCAAGGTTGGTTTTAGATGTTGATGAGATTTTTTGGATAAAATTGTTTGACATTTCACTTACTTAACTGCTCTGCTTTCAGGTGCCTTCAGTCATTCCAGCCACTACTGTTACCACGGCAACCAAGCCACCAACAACACCAAAGTCCACAGTAACGGCCGCGGCAACTAGCACCTCATCTCTAACCAAACAGGTAGAAAATAAGATATTTAAAAAATTATGAATGGCAAATAAAGAGAATGAAAAAAATGATAAAAAGCATAAGCATAAAAATTGAGCATCCGGAGTATCAGATTACTTACTTGTGGTATTTTTATCTCCCCTCCCCTTGATTAATGGATTTTTATTGTAGAATATCATAAAATAGTTTTTATTTAATTATTTTCTAGACAATTTTCCCAAAAAATCAATCATATGGATAAAGGTGATAGCATAAAAGCATTAAGAAGACAATTACCTTGAATATAATTCTTGCTAGTCTATAGGTTGCATGTTCACACCCCTCCAATACCATTTTTGAGAGTAGTGTCATTGGTTTAGTCTGGTTTCAATAGTCTGACTCTCAACATGGTCATTTCAGAAATTAAAACAAGCCCTGACTCAGAATGTGGCTCAGGCCAACATGAGGACAATGTCAGAGGCTGTGGACAGGGTCACATGTCAGGCCTCACCAGCGCCCTCTGTTAGCAGCAGTCTCAGCAGTCCTGGCAGTGTGGCACAGTCACCCATGTTTCCTGAAGTACACACAACTTTTATAAGGTATGGGGAAAATGTATAATGATGGGGAAAAAGTATAACATTTTTTCCTGTGGCCTTTTAGGTGTAAGCCAGTGCAAGGAAAGCTATGAGGATATTCATTAAACACAATAAGTTGAGATTGAGTTGATGCAAAGAGTACCGTGATTTAACCAGTGAGGGTCAGGAGAGTCACTGTTATACGGACAAGTACTCATACCCATATAAGACTGATGTATTCTGTACATAATTAATCTTATTTACAGTTATTGCCAAGTTCATATTTATAGGAATATGTTTACACATCTAAGCAATGCAATCAATAAAATTAACTCTATAAGCCTGTTTGGTCAAGAAAGTTTAGTCACACAAATTATTTGAACCCTAGTGATAGAACATATGTTTTTAATTATAACTGTTACTAATCTTCAGTAAACGCTCAAGATCTGCATCCTCAGACGAGTCCCCTGATGAGAAGAGGCGGAAGTTTTTGGAAAGGAACAGGTAGGTAACAACTTGCATAATCCAAGGGCTCTGAAATTCCAAGACAGAAGTTAGTTGAGTATATCGATTATTTTGTCATTTTGTCCCTTTTACACACAGTACACGCAAAATGATATATGCACTGAGTAACTACATATCTTTGGTCTTGTTTTTTATGCACAGGCAGTTGTGCTGCTCACATTTCTTGTTACCACAGTTGTAGGGAAGATATGTCTGTTTTGCTTGTTACACATGGTGATTACTCACTGCCATAAAATGCTAGTCAAGTTCAAAAATGGGCATGATCCGATTATTCCTTATATTTTTTCAACAAGTAGGAACTTTGTTTTCAGTAGAAGTTGTATTGTCAGAAGCTCAAAATATATGTATGTTGCTGCATTATTTCTTGAGTCTTCATTTTAAAACTGATAAAGGTTGTCTGTTTATGTGTCAGCTGAACCTAGCTTATTATTATTATTATAATTATATCTGAGGGTGTGGGTAGGTGAAATGATAGAAACCCTGATTTTCTGCAGAGCTGCAGCGGCCAGGTGTAGGAATAAGAGGAAGACTTACATTGGGGAACTGGAGAAGAAAGCAGAAGATTTAATGTCTACTAATGTCACACTTCAGGTAGGTAGTTGATGGAACATATGCTGCCCTTCCTTTTCCCATCCTTTTTCCCTTCCAAATGTCACACAATTATTTTTTTGATTTTATGTCCATATTCCTTAAATATGCATAAGATGAGGCTGCTCTTTTCCGCCATGTCAATCCACATGCCCTATACTTTTCAACGTGGTTATCCACACTCACTGCCCCTTTCACCCATCTTTATCCACATACCAGTACATACCCTGCCCCTAAAATTATTTTAATGTATAGATGCAGCTCCTTTCACCCTTGTCATTTCACATCCTCTGCCCCTTTCACATGTCCTATCCACATACCCTGCCCCTTTCTCACCTCTTAATCCACATACCCTGCCCCTTTCACACATCCTATCCACAAACCCTGCCCCTTTCACACCTCTCAATCCACATACCCTGCCCCTTTCACATATCCTATCCACATATCCTGCCCCTAAAATTATTTAAATGTATATAGTCCATGAGCCAAATTGAAAAAAGGCCTTATTTAAGGATTTGGCTGCACCCCCCGTCAGGCAAAGGTTTTATGATTGATTCTTGTAGTTTAGAACCTGAATTTTTCATTTCTGCTTGTTTCCGGCTTGAAAAAGTGTCCGTTTGTACCGGAAACAGGCCAAATCCAAGATGGCCGCCAGTAAATTCATGTGTCAACTGTAAATACAAAAATTGATTTAAAAGTTACTTAACAACTTAATATTATCAAAATTTGCACTGATCACAAGTACTTTGGCCTTCTTTGATTTTTCAGGCACTTTACATTTTTCAAGATGGCGACTGAATCCAAGATGGCGGCCATTTTCCTTACTTTTTGTGAAAAAATACAAATACCTAAATTTGAAAATTTTTTTTATTAACCAAAAATTAGGAATATTTTACATGTTTTGATGTTTTTGAATAAGTTGAAGTCTATATTTTTAATTTTTACCAGTTAATTTATCACAAAATTGTACATTTGAACACAGATGGCTCTAATCCAAGATGGCCACCACATAAAATGGGCTTTTTGATTTGATATGTCATCAAGCCTTTCTTAGTATAAAACATCTCAGACTACTTAAAGGAGGATTTATTGCACAGGTCATGGTATGAAATGTATGACTGAATAATTTAAATTGTTTTGAGATTTTGTTCAAGGTATAAAAATCCAAAATGGCCGCCAATTTCTGGATTCAAAACGTACATTATTTTGATTTGCATGTTAAAAAACATTAATTGAATAATAAGTAAATTAAAAACATTTATTTTTTGATAAATTTATCTGTATTGCAGTCTCATTTTGCTTCTTGGACACTTTATTCTGCCAAAAAGTGGTTAATTTTTCTTCATTTATCATGATTCCAAGTTTGCCATTGATAAAAATGAACTGCACGCGACCCGTATGGACAATACCACATGTTATGAGCCTTACTTAAAAGGCTATTTCTGAGCTTTATTCTTCAAGTAATGGAATGGAATATATAACTGAATGATTCAAAATGCTTTTAGGCTTGTAGTTTAGGGTTGAAAAGTCCAAAATGGCCGTCAATTTCTGGATTCAAAATAAACGACATTTTGATTTGCATGTTGAAAAGCATCAAATTGAATGATGGGCAAATGATTAAAGACTATATTTTGATAAACTGCAGTGTCCTTTTACTGTTTAGAATCTAATTTTTCCAAAAAGTAATTATCTAAGCTCCAATCATCAAAAATATCCAAGATGGCCACCAACAAAAATGAATTTTAGGTAAACATGGATGAAAACACACTGTTGAGTCGTAATTTTATACATGCATATATATATATGCCTGTACTTAATAAGGTTCAGTGAATCTCAAATGCTTTGCTGTTTTCTTGAACAGAATTTGATGCATAACACACAAGGGACAGCAATTTTTTCAGCAGCAACTATATAGGTTAGTAAAATGACAATTTTCAATATTGCAGACAAAATGCATGCCCAAAACGCC